CTGGCGGCGGGTGGCGCGGCGCTGGAGATCGGCCGCTTCGACCCAGAGCGCGGGCGCGGGCCGGCGCCGTGCCAGGCGGTGGAGATCCCCATGTGCCGCGGCATCGGCTACAACCTGACCCGCATGCCCAATCTGCTGGGCCACGAGTCGCAGCGCGAGGCGGCCGCCAAGCTGGACGAGTTCGCGCCGCTCGTGCAGTACGGTTGCCACAGCCACCTGCGCTTCTTCCTGTGCTCGCTCTACGTGCCCATGTGCACCGACCAGGTCTCGACGCCCATCCCTGCCTGCCGGCCCATGTGCGAGCAGGCGCGCTTGCGCTGCGCGCCCATCATGGAGCAGTTCAACTTCGGCTGGCCGGACTCGCTGGACTGCGCGCAGCTGCCCACGCGCAATGACCCGCAAGCGCTCTGCATGGAGGCACCCGAGAATGCCACTGCCGGCCCCGCTGAGTCGCACAAGGGCCGGGGCATGCTGCCAGTGGCGCCGTGGCCTGCGCGGCCCCCCGGCGACGGTGCCCCAGGGCCGGGCGGCGCCTGCGAGAACCCGGAGAAGTTCCAGTACGTGGAGAAGAGTCGCTCGTGCGCCCCGCGCTGCGGGCCGGGCGTCGAGGTGTTCTGGTCCCGGCGGGACAAGGACTTCGCGCTCGTGTGGATGGCCGTGTGGTCGGCGCTGTGCTTCTTCTCTACCGCCTTCACTGTGCTCACCTTCCTGCTGGAGCCTCACCGTTTCCAGTATCCCGAGCGCCCCATCATCTTCCTCTCCATGTGCTACAACGTCTACTCGCTGGCCTTCCTCATCCGCGCCGTGGCCGGAGCACAGAGCGTGGCCTGTGACCAGGAGGCGGGCGCACTGTACGTGATTCAGGAGGGACTGGAGAACACGGGCTGCACGCTCGTCTTCCTGCTGCTCTACTACTTTGGTATGGCCAGCTCGCTGTGGTGGGTGGTCCTGACACTCACCTGGTTCCTGGCGGCCGGCAAGAAATGGGGTCATGAAGCCATTGAGGCCCATGGCAGCTACTTCCACATGGCGGCCTGGGGCCTACCGGCCCTCAAGACCATCATCATCCTGACCCTGCGCAAGGTGGCCGGGGATGAACTGACCGGGCTGTGCTACGTGGCCAGCATGGACGCGTCTGCTCTCACAGGCTTCGTGCTGGTGCCCCTGTCCTGCTACCTCGTGGTCGGCACCAGCTTCCTCCTGACGGGCTTCGTGGCCCTCTTCCACATACGCAAGATCATGAAGACAGGAGGCGCCAACACCGAGAAGCTGGAGAAGCTCATGGTCAAGATTGGGGTCTTCTCCATCCTCTACACAGTGCCTGCCACCTGCGTCATTGTTTGCTACGTCTATGAGCGCCTCAACATGGACTTCTGGCGCCTTCGGGCCACCGAGCAGCTATGCACAGCGGCTCCAGTGCCCGGGGGCCGGAGGGACTGCTCACTGCAAGAGGGCTCGGTGCCCACCGTGGCTGTCTTTATGCTGAAAATCTTCATGTCACTGGTGGTGGGCATCACCAGTGGAGTCTGGGTTTGGAGCTCCAAGACTTTCCAGACTTGGCAGAGTCTGTGCCACCGCAAGATCGCCACAGGCCGGGCCCGGGCAAAGGCCTGCCGGGCCCCCGGGAGCTACGGCCGTGGCACCCACTGCCACTACAAGGCCCCCACTGTGGTCTTGCACATGACTAAGACGGACCCCTCTCTGGAGAACCCCACACACCTCTAGGACAGGCCTGGAGCAGGCGGCTGCTGCCCCTTTCTAGCCCTCCCCGTCCTGAAGCAACAGCTGACTAGCAGCTGCCCAGCTATCAAGGGCAGGCAAGAGTGCGAGGGGGCTGAGGAGTAGGGTGAGGAGACTCCTTCAGCCCCTCGCTTGTCAAGGTCCATCAAGGTTCACTCCTCTCGCCCCCCGCTGAGTCTTGCAGGGTGCTGGGAGAGGATGGGGGGGAGGGGGGCACAGTCCAGCAAGGGAGTTTATTTAATGATGTAATTTATTGTTGAGTTTCTCTGGAAGCTGTGACTGGAATAAACCCCCGTGCGGCATTGCCGAGTCCTCTCTGGGTTGAAAGGGGGAAGGTAAGAGGGTGAGGACCCTAGAGGAGTCTCCCTTGTGAGCAGAACTGGGTGTGGGTACTGGGTTCATCCCCAGGCACCCCCCTTTCTCTGGCTTCCCACCAATCAGGAGGTAGTCCCCCTGTGGAGCAGCTGTGCTCTGCAGAAGTCCCAGACTGTGTGTGTGGGTGTGAGTGCTCCCCTGGCCTGTCTGTGCTGCTTTTGGAAGCCTCTGCTTGTCTTTCTCTGAGGCCAGGGCTTTGTGCTCCAAAGTGGGACCGGGATGCCTATGGGACCCCCACCTCCAGCCCTGGGAAGGCTAGCTTATTTGGAGGCTTCGGGTAAGTCTTCCCTTTTCCAGACTTGGCTTTCCTCATTTGTGTATAAAATGAGGGTGTTGGCAGGTCTCAGAGTTGTCACGAAGGTTCCCTTGGAGGCTTGGTACCTGCTCCCGCTGTCCCCACATGGGGCCTGGGGGCTGAGGCTGATGCCCTCATTGCTTTCTCTCCAAGATTGCTGGTGTGGCCACAGTTGGGGCACTTCACCGCACCATCTCATATCTCTATGTGGGGTGGAGATGGGGCTGGACTGGAATGTGGGCATCTTGTTGGCACAGACATAAGCTTGAAGATGGAGAGCCCTTGAGTGTAGTGGGAATTGGAACTCCAGCTGCTTCAGGGATGTGGAAAGATTGGAGGTGCTGACAGCAGCAGTCAGAGATGGGGCAGGCGCAGACGAGTGGGCATAGCTCCTTACTGGTACAGCTTGCACATTTGTGTGCCAGGGCAGACCAGGGCTGCTGGGACCTGTCCCTGTCTCTGGCCTCTGTAAGGTAACTGGATGTGTGTCCCAGAGCCCTCCATCAGCTTGAGGCCAGACCCCTGGGTCCCATCTTGGCTGCTGTGCCCCAGCCCAGTGAGGGTCTTGGCTTCCAACCCTGGGTGCATAATACACACAGCAGCATTCAGCATCAATGCTAGGAGGCTCCAAGGGTCCAGCCTTGGCCAGCCTCACTTTAGAGCTAAAGGCCCTAAAGGGAAAGGGAGTAGCTCATGTGCCCAAGATCAACTGCTTCTTGTCAGTGGTAGGGCTGAGCTCCCCACTCGAGCCTCTCGGGCCAGAACTCTGCCCTACACCAACCACCAGTTTCACAGGAACAAGAAAGAACCAGGATGAAAATCACAGGTTGGGTCACATTCCCACAGATCCATGATGGACTGAGGGGGATTAAGTGCTGTACAAGGAGCCCCACTGGCACAGTGGGTTAAGCGCTTGACTGCTAACCAAAAGGTTGGCGGTTGGAACCCACCCGTGGCTCCACGGAAGAAAGATGTGGCAGTCTGCTTCCATAAAGATTGACAGCCTCAGAGACCCTATGGAGCAGTTCTACTCTGCCCTATAGGGTCGCTGTGAGTCGGAATTGACTCTGGCAAATGGGTTTAAGGGCTCTCCCTCACCGCAAGGCACCGTACTGACACGGAGGGGAATTGGGCAATCCCCGCCCCTACACCTCTGCTTACGCCATTTCTTACACATGGCAGGCCCTCTCCATCGAAATCCTCTCGTCACAGAGCACAAACTAAGTCCCAGTGCTGCCTGTGACCAGTGCTGTTAAGTGACCCTAATACCTTGAAACTCCCCATGAGGGTCCTTGAGTGAGAAGCAACAAAATTACCAAGTTGGTAAAATTACCAAGTTGGGAGTGGGAGGGAGTAGTGGCTGCCGTGAGCTGGGCTTACAGGCCAGGCTTACAGGGAGCAGAATAAAGGCGACAAGGGCCTATGCTAGGGCAGGGCAGCTGGAGCAAGGGGCAAGAGGAGCTCAGAGACCTGGGATGGGCGTATGGGTAAAGGGTGGAGAGGAACACATCGAGAGTGGCACCAGTTCACCCTCATTCCTTGCCTGTCCGTGGATGGGTTTGCTGGGCTGTGTTGGGCTCAGTAGACACTAAGTCTGGTGGCTGGCTTCCAGGGCGACTGGGATGGGAGGGTAGAGGGAGGAAGTGCCATCAGGACTGACCGCGAGGGGGCTCTGCTTTGAGGTTGGGATGGCTCATCCTGGCCAGGCCTTGGGAGGGAGGGCAGGGCCTTGCCAGTCCTGGAAGGCATTATGGAAAATCCCCAGACTTTGGAGGAAAAGGAAGAAACACATTAAGGACCTTTACAGGACCCAACTATCCCTATTTTAGGAGCCCTGGTGGTGTAGTGGGTAGAGCTTGGCTGCTAACCAAAAGGTCGGCGGTTCAAATCCACCAGCCGCTCCTTGGAAACCCTATGGGGCAGTTATACTCTGACCTACAGGGTTGCTATGAGTTGGAACAGACTCAACAGCAGTGGGTCTCACTTTTGTTGGTATCCCCATTTTATAGATAGGGAAAGGGTTTGGAGAGGGCTTAGCTGGCTTAAGACCCACACAACCCAGTCTGAGGCAGAGCTTGAAAATGAACCCAAGTCTAAGGCCACTGCTTTTGTGATTTCTACCACACCAGTGGATTCAAGTTTTTCTTCCTTCTCCTAGTATCCTTTGAGCTGTGGGGAACAGCAGGGTGTTATATCCAGGTTGTTACACCTGAGAGGGTTAAACATCTAGAGAAGCTGGGCAGGGTGAGTAGAGGAGACGAAGTCCCTCTCACAGCTGAACTCCCTCCCTCAAGGAAAATTTAAAGCCAGCAACACCTCAGAAACCAACATCTGCTAACATGTGCTGTGTGCCCTTGGCCTCTTCTCTTGGTGGCCTCAACACCCAAGCGTTTGGGTCCTCTGAGTGCAGCATGTATGTGTACTCGCATGCTCTGGCTTGTGAGCCTGTACTTATGGGTCTCAGCTTGTGCATGGTAGGGGGCTTGAGTTATCAGAACTTAGCCTGGACTCAGTATTTATTCTGTGGACACAATCCAAAGTTCACAGAGGTCAGCAGGGATAATCTTGGCCAAGGGCAGAGTGGAGAGAGGGCCCAGTAGGGGGTCAGTAGCAACTCTAACTCCCAGGGAGTCCCAGCTGGAGGAAGACCTGCACAGGATTAGGATACAGACCCTAGATGAGGTGACATGGCCCCACAGGCACCCTACTGTGTGCCTAAAAGACCTGGGACTTCACAGACATGGGCTAGGACCTCTGAATCCAACCATCATTGTGGAGGAAATGATGAGAGGGAGCATAGCTCCCTTCTCGGGAGCCTGAGGTCTGGAGCAGATGAGCTAGTCAAATGCCACTTGACCTCGGTCAGCACAGGCCTGGGTCAAAGCACAGGCTCACCAAGATCAAAGTGAGTGACAGAACCTCCAAGAGCTCTAGGTTCTCCTGAAAGGCTCTTCCACTTCACCTTACACTATCTCCAGGTCAGGCGGTCAGGAACTGGCCATTTTGTTTCTCAGTAACTGGGATCACAGCAATGACTCAGCTCCCACCTAGCAATCACCTACCCTAATCGATCACCCTTGGCTTTAAAAATCCCAGCATGAACAGTAAATGAAGACATAAATAAAGCAAGACTGGCCCTGTGGTAGAACAGTTGAAGGTGAGTATATGGAGATTCACTAAACTTTTCATTCTTGCTGTGTGTTTTAAATTTTCCTTGAAATAGAAGTTTTTAAAAATGTCAGGAGTTTCCCTAAAAACTCTTAAGCCCTTAAGGATCACATAAATCCTACTTGAGGCCTTAAAAAAATAGTTTCCCCTAATTCTTAAGAGGTTTCAAATGATGATTTTTTAAAAATTTTTTCTGGGATTTAGATAAAGACAAGGTCAGGAGAGACTTCAAAGTCTTGTTTCAATTAGCCAGGGCACTGGAAATGTCTCTTGGAAGGTCAGAAAATGCAATAAATCAATCTGCCCTCTAGTGAAAGATTAAGAGCTCCTCTCAATCCTGAGGCCAAGCCTTCACAGAAGAATTGGCTCCAAGAGTCAATGGCTGCACAATCCGCTTACACCCCAAGAGCACAAAGAAAGATCCATCAAAATTTTATTCTTTATAATAAACACAAGTACATAAGTTTATTTGAAATTCCAATTTGTTACAAGTTCACCCTTTAATGGGGCCCTTCCTCCTCAAAGACAATAAAAAAACAATTCAGATGTAACTGAAGTGGGAACCTAAGATTCTCACTATTAACAAGAACAGACTGGACCTAGGATAAGAGCTGGGGAAGGTGTGGGTGGTTGGGATTATGAATGGTAATGTCAGTGCTAACTCCAAGCCCGTGGGAGAAGGGACAGTAAGCTGATCCACCAGCCACTGGGGCAAATTCCCCAAGTCCTTGGGTGAGGAGGATGGGGAAGAGACAGGGACCACAACTTGAAGTTTAATATTAGAGGCTTTATTTTCAACTTCTATGAGTTACAATCCCTTGGTGGACTTCTTTTCCTTTAATTTAAATAGTTACAGAAGAGCTGAGGTGCTCAGATTTTCTAAATCCAAAGTTGATAGAAAAGAAAATTAAACCCTGTTTTGTGTTTTTATCAAAATCTGCCATAAAAGGGAAAGAAGACAAAATTTTACCTAAATGTAACAACTAGTGCTAGACTCGTTGTGGGAAGGGGCTCTATGAGCTTCTCCCTTGCTCCCTCCCCCAACCCCACTGACACTGACCACTGAAATATTCAGGTTCTCAAGGAGTTCCAAGTCTGAAGCCAGAATGGGCATGGGAGGAGGCTGTGGAGGGGAGAGGCAGACACAGCCACCATGGCAGGAACAGGGGACTTCCCCTCCCCCAACCAGATCCCACTCTGCCTTGATGAGCCTCCAACCTAGTTTCTCCGAAGGCAAGAGGATGGGCTGAGGGAGAAGATAGGGAAAAGTAAAGCAAACACATTATCATATAAATTGTACTGTACATGTGCCAAAGCAAGATGACAAATATTTTACAAGATGTTCTTTATACAATACCACTGCTGAAACAAGCAACTTTTAATAACTAGAAAAGTCAATTTAAAAAAATTAAACATTTAAATTCTTCCTGCTTTTCTTCTGCTCCCCCCAGAGCTTATCTGGTATGTGGGTGGGCTGGGCTCCAACACCCCTCTGGCCAGATCCA